TATTAGCATTCCTGTAGTCAGAAATAACAAATTAGAAAATGCAATAGAAAAAGAGATCCTATTCACAATAGCAATGAAACCCTGAGAATATATCTAGCAAAATGTACACAGACCTTTCACGAAGAGTATTGCTATAGCCAGAATGTGTCTCCAAAAATTCCCGTTAAAACTTAATTGCCAGGATGATAGCATTAAGTGGGGCCTTTAAGAAGTGAGTAAGTCATTAGGGTGAGCCCTCATGCATGAGATTAGTGCCTTATAAAGGGCTTTAGGTGGTGGTACATTTGTTCCTTCTGCCTCATGAGAACATAGCATTTGCTCCAGAGGAACCAGCATTCAAGGTACCATCTTGGAAGCAGACACCAGGCCCTCACTAGACACTGTACCTGCTGGAGCCTTGATCTTCGTCTTCCCACCCTCCAGAACTGAGAGAATAACTTCTGCTATTTGTAAATTACCCAGTCTCAAGTGTTTTGCACTACAAAAAGACTAAGACAAATATAAAAATTACCCATGGACTTAAAGGAAGAATGGAAATATAAGCCATATATATTATGCATGGTAGGACTCAATGCTATAAACCTATTATTTCTCACTGAATTAATCTATAAATTCAAGCAATTCCCAGACAAATCCCAATAGAGTTGTTTTGGGAACTTGACAGGCCGATCTGAAAATTCATGTTGTCATTGAGGGGCCAAGAATAGTGTAGCTGGCCGGGCGCGGTGGCTCCCACCTGTAATCTGAGCACTTTGGGAGGCCGAGGTGGGCGATCACCTGAGGTCAGCAGTTTGAGACCAGCCTGGCCAACATGATGAAATCCCATCTCTACAAAAAATACAAAAATTAGCTGGGCGTGGTGGCGTTTGCCTGTAGTCCCAGCTACCTGAAAGGCTGAGGCAGGAGAATTGCTCAAACCCGGTAGGCGGAGGGGATAGGGAGCCAAGATGGAGCCATTGCATTCCAGCCTGGGTGACAGAGTGAGGCTTCATCGGTGGAAGACTGTTTCAATTACTATGGCTTTATTATAACTCATTACCTGCTAGGACAAGATCTTCCAATCTTACTTTTCTTCTTCAAAATTGTTTTAAATACTGTAAATATTTTTTTCTACATAAATATGAAAAACGTTAGAACGGCAACTTTAGCACACATATATAGCTTATTTTTAAAAATGAACAGCAACTCTATACTAGCAAAATGAAAAAAAATTAACCGAATAAATGAGTAACTGAATTAACTAACACCAGGCTACAAAGTTATACAAGATTAAAAGTTATGAAGTACTACTTATTATACCTAAATGATATTACCTTTTTTTGGCAAAAATATCTAAGGCTTTTGCTTTTTTGAAATGCAAGCTTTCCCCTATACTTAAGTATATTCATTATCTTACTGTTTTGGTCAGGACAAGAACTGAAAAAGAGAAAATAATCTTGAATTCAGAATGAACAATTCTTGTTATATGTATTTTCCCATATATGTTAGGAATGTTCTGTAACTTTCCGAGAAATAGTGACTTGAACTAAATACTAAACTACTACCAAGCCCCAGGTGCATTTTTGGATGTGTTTAGTCATTGGGAACCATGGCATTTCTTTTTTCTGTATTACAAACGGTTACACTCACTCTCTTTGAGTATTAACATTGGAACAGAAGACCTCCTGTTCTGTGACTGATTGGCAGGCAGAAATGACACGGACAGGAAATGGGAAATGGTTCAGGGTCTCGGAATTCCCCCGGCTGCCTAATTAAGTGGCTTGCTATTTGGAAGTTTTTAAAATGTTTGTCCCTTGGAGTTCCCCAGAGAGAAGCAAGCATCAGATTCAATGGGCAAAGAGCGTCAACTTCAAAAGTCTTTGTCATACTACAAATATTTACTGCATGCCATTGTGTCTATGGCACCATGGAGGGAGTATGGAGGTGGATACAAAAGGTCCATGACTAGTAAAAGCCAAGGGTTTTTAATCTACAAATTTTCTAATACCTAAGTATTTAAAAAAATTGGGCTCCTCTGTGGTGTATGTACAATTATATGTGCGTGTACACCAATATACAGGCAGACGTATGTATTTCATTTTATTGAAACATTCAGAAAATACCAGGGAGTGAAGCCTGGCTTGCAATACCGTTCCCGTTGCTAGCAAGGAGCAACTGAAATAACGACACTTTTCCTCAGTGTATAAGCACTGTTGGTCTCCGGAACAGAAAACCAAAAGTTTAAAAACAAGATATTCTAGTTGATTATAAAACAATTGTCAAGTCTTCAAAATTATTCATCTGATGCTTCCTACTTTCCAGCGCTTCGCTTTTTTCGATTTGCACAGCCAACTGTTGGACATTGACGCTACACAAACGGTTACAATTGTTTACTTAAGCAAAATATGCCACCAGACTGACGCCATCCTCAAAATGCAGTCATCTCGACGACGAGGGAAGGCATCACACTAGGGGAGACTTGCCAGGGCCAGACCATAACCCTGAGATGACACATGGTAGGACGCGCAAAACCACCGGCGCCAGGGTGTTTCCGCAGGGTTTCCAACGATTCAAACGCAGCGGTTCACGTTTTGCCACGTCCCCCAGGAGAATGGTAGCCACAGAGAGAAAGGAAATGTGAGGGGGGGCACAAGCCGCAAGGTAAAGAAAATGAACAAACACCGAGTTGATACGGATAGTCCCCATTCCCCTGACAACCAATCCGGCGACTCCCGTGGGCGCCTAGTGGCCCCGGGCCTCCCTGGGCCACTCGGCGTCTTTCCCGGAGGTTTGTCTCCCCACCGCCTAACCCGCGCTCGGTTTCGCTTTCCCGCCCCAGCCTCCCGGGCGCCCTCCCGCGGCGGCTAACGCCTGTTCCGGGCCGGGCGTGCTGACGTCACCGTGCGTCGGCGTGGGCCCGGCTGGGGCGGCGGGCTTCGGGAGCGCGGAGGCTGATACGAGCCGAGCTGGCCGTATCTCCTTGTCAGCACGGCTGCTTCCCGGCTCTGTGGAGGCCTCTAGGTACCCGCGCAGCTTCCGTGTTTGCTGCGCCCGCACTGCGGTGAGTGCTGCTCCTTCCGGGCTCGGGCGGCGCGGGACGGGTGGAGACGTGCGGGCCCGCGGGGGCCCACTTCCCTAATGTGGTGGCTGGGGGAAGAAGGACCGGGCCTGGGGCCCGTCGGCCAAAGGTTGAGGGTCGCCGGGGGCTCTCTGCTTTCCACTCTCACTAAGGTTTTATTTGATTCGGAAGCCCCAACTTCAAGACTTGCAGTCAAAGCGATTTTTAAAATATGACGTTTTCAAGCCTCCTCTGGCCGCCGCCCACTCTTCTGGCCCTTGGACCTTGACCAAGATGTTTTCTCGCAGCTTTTTGCAAGGTTTTAAGCTTAGCTCTCGGCTTTCTTTTAATGTAATACATTGAAACGAAGACATTTCGGTGGCGCCGAGATCTCAGATTTCATAGTTCCCACTGCGCTGTCACTCCAGTAGTCGCCCGTTGTGTATTGTGAGAAACAGCTCTGGGAAATTATTGGGTAAATCCCATAGTTTCTATTCCTTTCCTTTCCATTCTATCCCTTTGCCCTGCTGCAGTTTGCATAAAGAGAATGCAGCAGTATGGTGCTTGTAGATAAAAATCTTTCATTTAAAGACAGGATATGAGACGGTGTAATTAAAGCAGTCATGGCAGTGGTCATCGTGCCACGACCACTGTTTCACAGACCACTGTGTTAGGTTTTGTTTTTGAGTTGCTTTCTGTGGTTGTTGCTTTGGAATTGCAAGGGAATGGTGGAGTTTAAGAGTTTATATTAATGAGCTCCTGTTTTACTGCGGGTTTCCTAGTTGTAGAGAGACTTGATATTTACACACTAACGTTGCTGTCTGACTACTGCTGTACTGCTGCTGACAGGGTTTAGTGGAGTGTCTGTCCACTAAAGGAACCAATGTTCCGTTGCCTCCAGGAGAGTGCCAGAGATACCTTTAGGTCAGAAAAGGAGAGGAGCGCAAGGACAAAATGTTTTCCCCTGTGAAAATGTCCATTTGTCTTCAAAGTTGTACATTTTCAAAACAGTATAGTTAGTGGTCTGGGAAGCATATTGCATTTATTTATTTTAACTAAGTACTTTTTCAGTTACAAAGTTGTAGTGACAAATTGCTGGAATTAAGATGTATAATCTTTTCTTTTCTTTTTTTAAGACAGAGTCTTGCTCTGTCGCCAGTTGCCAGCCGCCAGTCTGGAGTGCAGTGGCGCAATCTCGGCCCACTGCAATCTCCGCCTCCTGGGTTCAAGAAATTCTCCTTTCTCAGCCTCTCGAGTAGCTGGGACTACAGGTGCGCGCCGCCACGTCCAGCTAATTTTTGTATTTTTTAGTAGAGACAGGGTTTCACCATGTTGGCCAGGATGGTCTCGATTTCTTGACCTCGTGATCCGCCCGCCTCGGCCTCCCAAAGTACTGGGATTACAGGCGTGAGCCACTGCGCCTGGCTAAGATGTATTCTCTAAAGTGTAAATTATTCTTTGACTTTACTGAATAAATTGAAGAGTATGTAAGTTCTATTTGCCATGCAAATACAGTTTTCTAAAATACCTTTTGTTTTTTCTTTTCAGATTTTCAGCCCTGAAGAGTCTCCCTCTCCCTATTTTTCCCCCTGCAGTAATAAATCCCATTATGAAGACCTCGAAACTTTATAAAGGGATATAGTTTGAATTCTATGGAGTGTAATTTTGTGTATGAATTATATTTTTAAAACATTGAAGAGTTTTCAGAAAGAAGGCTAGTACAGTTGATTATTGATACATTATGCTAAGCAGTACTTTTTTGGTAATATAATATTTTGTTAGGCGTTTCAGATAACACTAGAAAGAACAAGTTATATCTTGTGACAAATTGAGTAATGCTTAATTACAACATGACTGATCATTATAGCTGAATCGTCCTTAAATGATGAACAGGTTATTTAGCTTTTAAATGCAGTGTAAAAAGTGTGCTGTGGAAATTTTACGGTTAACTAAGTTTATGGAGAAAATACCTTTAGTTGATCAAGAATAATAAAATTGTATGCAAAGTTAGGCAGAAAGTCGACATGATGCTGCAGGAAATGGAAACAAATACAAATGATATTTAACCAAGATAGAAGAGTTTACAGTCTGTGAACTTTAAGCAAAGTTCATTTGACATCAAACACTGTAACTGGCGCAGGTTCAACAAAGCTTGTGGGTGTTGGCTTCCCCAAAAGTTGTCAGCTGAAGTAATATAGCCCACTTATGTAAATACTCTGATGATAAAGTGTGTGAATTTAGCCTTTAAGTAGTGTGACCATATGAAGATTTTAATTACTTTTGTTTATTGGAATAAAATGAGATTTTTCGGGGTTGTCATATTAAAGTGCATATAGGGAAAGACACCTGCATATAATTTTTTTACCTTGTGGCATAATCAGTAATTGTCCTGTTATCCAGGCTTAATAGCTTGTAACCAAACATAAATAAAAGGCATAGTTTAGGTATTCTATAGTTGCTTAAAATTTTGAGAATATAAATCTCGGTGAAAAATCAAGGAGTTTTAACATTATCAGAAGTGCATTGACTTTTTCTGTGCTTTTGGTTAGTATTATACCGATTATGAACAAATAGCACTTAGGTTACCTACAAGAGTGACTACAACCCCAAAGAGTTGTGTTCTAAGTAGTATCTTGGTAATTCAGGGAGATACTCATCCTACCTGAATATAAACTGAGATAAATCCAGTCAAGAAAGTATAGTGAATTCTACATAAGAGTCTATCATTGATTTCTTTTTGTGATAAAAGGTCTTATTTCGTGTGAAGAAATTTCAAGTGAATGTTTTAGCTATCAAACAGTACTATCACCTACTCATGCACAAAACTGCCTCCCAAAGACTTTTCCCAGGTCCCTCGTATCAAAAAATTAACAGTATAATGGAAGATAGCACGATTTTGTCAGATTGGACAAACAGCAGCAAACAAAAAATGAAGTATGACTTTTCCTGTGAACTCTACAGAATGTCTACATATTCAACTTTCCCTGCCGGTGTTCCTGTCTCAGAAAGAAGTCTTGCTCGTGCTGGTTTTTATTATACTGGTGTGAATGACAAGGTCAAATGCTTCTGTTGTGGCCTCATGCTGGATAACTGGAAACTAGGAGACAATCCTATTGAAAAGCATAAACAGCTATATCCTAGCTGTAGCTTTATTCAGAATCTGATTTCAGCTAGTCTGACATCCACCACTAAGAATCCGTCTCCAATGAGAAACAATTTTGCACATTCATTATCTCCCACGTTGGAACATAGTAGCTTGTTCAGTGGTTCTTACTCCAGCCTTTCACCAAACCCTCTTAACTCTAGAGCAGTCGAAGACTTGTCTCCATTGAGGACTAACCCTTACAGTTACGCAATGAGTACTGAAGAAGCCAGATTTCTTACCTACCATATGTGGCCATTAACATTTTTGTCACCATCAGAATTGGCAAGAGCTGGTTTTTACTATATAGGACCTGGAGATAGGGTAGCCTGCTTTGCCTGTGGTGGGAAGCTCAGTAACTGGGAACCAAAGGATGATGCTATGTCAGAACACCGGAGACATTTTCCCAACTGTCCATTTTTGGAAAATTCTCTAGAAACGCTGAGGTTTAGCATTTCAAATCTGAGCATGCAGACACATGCAGCTCGAATGAGAACATTTATGTACTGGCCATCTAGTGTTCCAGTTCAGCCTGAGCAGCTTGCAAGTGCTGGTTTTTATTATGTGGGTAAGAAGCAAGTAACTCTACATTTTATCAGTTTATTTCGATTTACATATTAGAACATGGGTTTTCAATATTTGTTTGTTTATTTTTTTTTTTCCCCTGTAGGTCGCAACGATGATGTCAAATGCTTTTGTTGTGATGGTGGCTTGAGGTGTTGGGAATCTGGAGATGATCCATGGGTAGAACACGCCAAGTGGTTTCCAAGGTAATTGTTTTGAAAAGGTATTTGTCCAGAAACTCTGCTAACAAAAAGTAGGCATGCTTACGTGATTAAGCTTACATTTAAATGATAACAAAGCCTCTTTTATGCCCTGAGGGATTATCCTTCTAAAAGACCATATTTTAACTGTAATTATTTTGTTGAAAAATATTCTTCTGTGTACTTTTCTTTTAAGTCAGTTACAGTTATGGCCATGCATTTTATTTATTTCCCATTTTTTCTTAAAGAGTACTTAAGGATTACAAAAACATATAAAATAGAACAAAAAGAAGATAAGTTAGAAAAAGGTAAGAAAAGGAAAACAAGAAGGGACATAGAATGGATGCAGGAATAAGGCAAATTAAAAAATGCATTTATTAAGAGCATATCTGGGCTGGGTGCAGTGGCCCACACCTGTAATCCCATCACTTTGGGAGGCTGAGGCAGTCCTTGGATCGTCAGAGGTCAGGAGTTTGAGACCAGCCTGACCAACATCGTGAAACCCTGTATCTACTAACAATACAAAAATTAGCCAGGCATGGAGGCACATGCTTGTAGTTCCAGCTACTTTGAAGGCTGTGACAGGAGAATCACTTGAACCCAGGAGGTGGAGGCTGCAGTGAGCCGAGACTGTGCCACTGCACTCCAACCTGGGTAATTTTAAAAAAAAAAGGCATATCTGACTGCCCGTTTTAATTGTAATTGTAAATTTTCTGTACAGTTTTTTTTATAATCTGTCATTTACCTCCTTTTAGACACTTTGTCTCTAGCAGTGTGTTTTATTATTATATCCTAGAAAGAATTTAGGGGCAGCATTATTGGTAGAAGTAGAATTAGAGATTGTCTTTATGATTGAGTAGCTCTGTGAACTTGGACCACATTGGTAAAGTGAGGAGGGGTTGCCCTAGATAATTTTTTAAATAGTGATAAAATAGGCATAACATAACATTTACCATCTTAACCATTTTAAAGTGTATAGTTCTGTGGCATAAAGTATGTTAATACTGTTGTACAATCACACCACTATCCATCTCCAGAACCTTTGCATCTTCCCAAACTGAAACTGTCTACCCATCAAGTACTAACTCCCCATTACCCTTTTCCCCAACATCCTGGCAACCACCAGTCATTTTATTTCTTTTCTTTTCTTTTTTTTTTTTTTTTTTTTTTTTTTTTTTTTTTTTTTTTTTTTTTTTTTTTTTTTTTTTTTTTTTTTTTTTTTTTTTTTTTTTTTTTTTTGGAGACATTCTTACTCTGTCATCCAGGCTGGAGTGCAGTGGCACGATGATCTTGGCTCACTGCAACCTCCACTTCCCAGGTTCAAGCGATTCTCCTGCCTCAGCCTCCCGAGTAGCTGGGATTACAGGTGCCTGCCACCATGCCTGGCTATTTTTTTTGTATTTTTAGTAAAGACAAGGTTTCACCATGTGGGGTGGGCTAGTCTTGAACTTCTGACCTCAAGTGATCTGCCTGCCTCTGCCTCCAAAAGTGCTGGGATTACAGATGTGAGCCATCACCCCCTGCCCCACCATTCTATTTGTCTCTATTGGATTTGACCACTCTAGGCACCACATATAAGTGAAATCATAATACAGTATAGATTATGTTTTACCTGTGAGTGTCTTTCACAATAATGAAGAATCTCTTGAACCCCTTGAGGAAATTAAAAAAATATTTTCTTCATTTTGTATGATATGTGATGAAAAAGAAACTTGAAGTAACAAATACTTTATTATGGATCAGTACATTGTTAAAAAGTTGTATGTTAAAGTTATCTCATTAATATTCATAATATATCAAGATAAATTTTAATGTTTTTATACTCTGAAAAGTGATGTTTTACTTAAATTATTAATTATTTTTAAAATTATATTAAAAAGCATGTCTTATCAGACTTTTAAATGACTTAATTATGCTGATTCTATGGGATTGTATACATTTAATTTGAAATTTAATTCATGTTGTGGTATCAAAGACAAAAACAGCTTCCATATTCTAGTATTGGAACTACTACATTTTGTACTTTATAAAACAAAAACAAAATCTTTATTTTCGTAACTTGTGTTTTGTTTTAAATGATTAAATAAGGGTGAAGATGTAGGGGTGCATTTTGTAAATACTTCTATGAAAACAACACATTTCTTTTTTCCTTTTTTTATTTTTTTGAGACAGAGTCTTATTCCATCACCTGTCATTGCTTAGTGCAATGGCAAGATCTCAGTTCAGCTGCAACCTCCACCTCCTGGGTTCAAGCCTCAGCCTCCTGAGTAGCTGGAATTATAGGCGTGCACCACCAAGCTCAGTAGTTTTTATATTTTTAGTAGGGATGGGATTTCACTATGTTGGCTAGGCTGGTCTCGAACTCCTGACCTCAAGTGATCCATCTGCCTTGGCCTCCCAAAGTGCTGAGCTTACAGGCATAAGCCACTGAGCCCTGCCCACATTTCAGTTGTGAATAATCTTTAATCTCAGTAAATCCATCACCTTATATAGTAACTTTTTTTTTTTTTTTTTTTTTTTTTTGAGATGGAGTCTCGCTCTGTCACCCAAGCTGAAGTGCAGTGGTGCAATCTCAGCTCAGTGCAGCCTCTGCCTCTCAGGCGATTCTCCTGCCTCAGCCTCCTGAGTAGCTGAGACTACAGGTTCATGCAGCCACACCCAGCTAATTTTTGTATTTTTAGTGAGATGAGTTTCACCCGGCTGGTCTACAACTCCTGACCTCAGGTGGTCCGCCCACCTTGGCCTCTCAAAGTGCTGGGATTACAGGCGTGAGCCACTGCACCTAGCTGATTATATGATTTTTATCCTTCATTCTGTCAATGTGTGGTATCATATTTATTGATTTGCATATATCATACCATCCTTGCATCCCAGGGATAAATCTCACTTCATCGTGATATATGATTCTTCTAGTGTGCTGCTGAATTCAGTTTGCTAGTATTTTGTTGAGGATTTTTGCATCTGTGTTCATCAGGACTATTGGCTTGTAATTTTCTTTTCTTATGTTGTCCTGGTCTTGCTTTGGTATCAGAGTAATGCTTGGCTTTGTAAAATAAGTTTGGAAGTATTCCTCCTACTCCTCCTCCTACTCCCTTTCCCTTCCTTCTTCCTCCTCCTCCTCCTCTCTCTCCCTCTACCTCCTCTTCTTCTTTTTTTAGATGGTGTCTCGTTCTGTCACCCAGGCTGGAGTGCAGTGGCATGATCTCAACTCACTGCAATCTCCACCTCCCAGGTTCAAGTGATTATCCTACCTCAGCCACCCACGTAGCTGGGACTACAGATGTGCATCACCATGCACCACTAATGTTTGTATTTTTAGTAGAGATGGGGTTTTGCCATGTTGGTCAGACTGGTCTTGAGCTCCTGACCTCATGTGATCCACTGGGCTTGGCCTCCCTTAATGCTGGAATTACAGGTGTGAGCCATTATGCCTGGCTTTGAATTCTTAAAATGCAAATATTATTTTGCTTGATAGTGTCCTATAATTCAGGTAGGCTTTCTCCACTATTCTTTTTTTTTTTTTTTTTTTGTTTTTCTTCTCTTGACTAGATAATTTCAAATGACCTGCCTTTTAGTTCATAGGTTCTTTCTTCTGCTTGATCAGGTCTCCTATTGATGCTCTCTATTGCATGTTTTTTAATGTTCTTCAGCTCCTGAATTTGTTTCTTTTTATTATTTCTGTCTCTCTGTTGAATTTCTCATTTGTTTGTATATGTTTTTTATATCATTGTCTGTGTTCTTTTGTAGCTCACTGAGTTTGCTTGAAACAGTTATTTCTAAATTCTTTATCTTTAGTTGATAGATCTCCATTTCTTTGGGGGTGGTTACTGGAAAATTACTGTGTTTCTTTGGTAATGTCATGTATCCTTTTTTTTTTTTTTCCCCGTTCTATTTCTTGTGGACTTGTGTTGTTATCTGCGTATTTGATGGAAGAATTACTTCTAGGCATTACAAACTAGTTTTTGTTTTGTTTTGTTTTGTTTTGTTTTGTTTTGAGGAAAGACCTTTGCCTATGGATGAGTGTGAGGCACCAGCCTGTAGGTGTGGTAGTTCTAGCTCTGTGAAAGACCCAGCACTGTAAACTCTGTGCAGCTGTATTAGCAGATCATCATCAGTGAGGATTGCAGGGGTCCTCAACATCCAAGGGTGCACGTATCCATACCAGCAGCAAGGGTTTTTTTGATATATAGTGGCAGAGGTTGCTGGGGACGTCTTGATCACTTTTTCTCCCATGGGAGATGTCATGGCCAAGAGGTTTCTTCTTGACACAGGTTCCGGCTTTGGGCTCCGTTGTGTTGCTGGTGGTGGCAGCACTGATGTCTCTGATGGCATGGACACCCGTGGAGCAGCTTACAGAGCTGAGGTTTGGAGTGCAAGTGCCGGCAGAAAGACAGTGGCTCTGGGGTTCAGGATGTTGACTGCCCTGCAGCAATAGTGCTTTTGGTGCCTCAGATGTGGGTGCACATACGGCAGCCAGAGAGCTGGGAGCGGGAGAGTATATGATTAGAGCAGCCACAGAGCAAGGGTTTTACATGCATAGTACATGTGAAGCAGCTGTGGCTCTGAGGTCCCGGGCATGTGTAGGGTGAGGGGACTGCACTATCTCTGGACAGTGCAGTGCAAGAGTGCTCCTTTTCAGGGTGAGGAGTGCAGTAGTATCTCCTTCTCCAGGGGTTCAGAGCAGCAGCGGGTGTTGGTTACCTTAATGGTGAAAGCTGTCAGTGTTCTCTGCAGAGTAGGCTGCTAGGATTGGCATCAGTGAATACTATGGAATCCACTGTGAAACCTACAGGAAGTCTATGGCTATCTTGAGAGTTATTGGATGTCTCTGGGGGCCTGCTCTGGGGAGGAGCCTAGCAGTGTTGCCACTGAGGACTGTGATGGCACTCACTGCATGACTGATACAGATAGCCTTCACCCCTTCTCTAGATGTCTCTGCTAAGCATATCTCCTAGCTGTTCTTTCTTTGTGGTTATTCTCCCTTTTTTTTCCCCACTGTATTGCTGTAACCTAATTGGGCTATTGCATCTTCCCAGAGCTGTATTTGTTTGTGGATAGCTGCGTCTTTGTTGTCTTTTTTGGGTGGAAGAAGGCTATTGTCTCCTAGTCTGCTATCTTGCTGACATCACTCTTGGAAACTTTGAGCTGTGCTTTTCATTTCTTTAACATTGACTTTTGAAGAGCGGATGTTTTCAATTTTGATGATGTCAGTTTATCAATTTTATCTTTTGTGGATTATGTTTTTGATCTTTTATCTAATAATTCTTTACCTAATATAAAGACAAAAGGATTTTTCTCCTGAGCTTTTTTCTAAAGTTTTATTACTTTGGGTTTTATATTTAGGTATATGATCCATTTTTACTTTACTTTTGCATATAATATGGGGATAAGAGGGTTTTTTTTTTTCCATATGAGTATCCAATTGTGTAGTATCATTTGTTGAAGAAACAAAAGGAATAGAATGGATATAGATGGTATGTGAACTTATTGGAACATCTTTGAGAAGCCCTATCAGTTTAAAAACAAATATTTGAGAAACACTGTCATATTATACATAGATAAAAATATTTGATTCTATATTTTTTGGAGGGAAGGTAGTTGATTGTGGTTCAAATGTAATGGAAGGGTGAGCATTAAAGAAAGATTAGCAATTAAATTGTGAGAGATTACATTTTAGGAATACTGAGTTAATAGTATGTGAAATTGTTAAGTAGTCCACTTTAAGTGCAAAATAAATTGTGTATAATAGCATTTTTCAGGAGTCAGCTTGTTCCCCTTTGTGGATACACATGCCTTTCTTTTTATTGTTGTGTTAATGGATTGAAATAGAAAATATCATGATATATAACATACAGTAAGATGTATATTTTTTTAATGATAATTTTGTTCCTGTTATGTATGTGTTCTGGGTTGTGATATAAATTGTTTTTACTGTGAAGTACGATAAATGATCTGAAAACCATTTTTCTAGAATGATGAGGTTATATTTGATATGAAATAATTTTAAAAAATAATTTTCCTCATACGTTTTAGGTGTGAGTTCTTGATAAGAATGAAAGGGCAAGAGTTTGTTGATGAGATTCAAGGTAGATATCCTCATCTTCTTGAACAGGTAAATACATTTTTAAAATTAACAACATTGAATTCTGCTTTATAATAACAAAAATATTATTAGGTTGGTACAAAAGTAATCGTGGTTTTTGCCATTGAAAGTCATGGCAAAACTGCAATTACTTTTGCATCAACCTATATTAGAAGTTATACTTATTTCTGGCCGGGCGCAGTGGCTCACGCCTGTAATCCCAGCACTTTGGGAGGCTGAGGTGGGCAGATCACAAGGTCAAGAGATCGAAACCATCCTGGCCAACATGTGAAACCCCGTCTCTACTAAAAATACAAAAATTAGCCAGGTGTCATGGTGTGCACCTATAATACTAGCTACTTGGGAGGCTGAGGCAAGAGAATCACTCGAACCCGGGAAGTGGAGGTTGCAGTGAGCCGAGATTGCGCCACTGCACTCCAGCCTGGAGACAGAGCGAGACTCTGTCTCAAAAAAAGAAAAAAGAAGAAGTTATACTTGTTCTTGTTTTATTAATTGTAGTTACATATTTCATTCATATTAATGACACCTTTGATTTTTATTTTGGTAACAAACTTGATTGTTTAGGGCTTTTTAAAAAATACTGTTTTTTGTTTTTATTATTTTGAAAAATCATTTGTGCTGCCACTGTACAAATTTGTGATGGATTGGAGAAGGCTCTTTAGTGTCTCTTTGCTGTTTTCCAGAAAAACAAACAAAAAGTAACTTGTTAGGACCTGACACCCTTTGAGAGTAACCCCAGTTAAAATTTTACTTTCCAAATGGAGTGATAAACCACTAATACATTTTTCTGCTTTCTTGAAGCTAGACAAATGCTTGAATTCTAATTTAGGATAACATGAAATTTAAGGAAATCTATGTGTTTAGGTAAAAGAAAGCAAAGTGATGGTCATAAATCACTCAGTTCTCAAAAGAGTGTATACACTTACTTAAAGTAAACTTAGTTTAAAAGTGATGTTCCTTTCAGATTGTTGGGGATTTCTGATTTTACCTATTTTCTCTTGTTTCATAGCTGTTGTTAACTTCAGACACTACTGGAGATGAAATTGCTGATCCACCAAGTATGTATGAATTAATTTTAAATATAGAGTGGAAATTTGTATAAGAATTTTGGGAATGGACCAGGTGCAGTGGCTTACACCTATAATCCCAACACTTTGAGAGGCCGAGGAGGGTGGATCACCTGAAGTCAGGGGTTTGAGACCAGCCTAGCCAACATAGTGAAACTCCGTCTCTACTAAAAATACAAAAAATTAGCCAGGGGTTATGTGCCTATAGTCCCAGCTACTCTGGAAGCTGAGGCAAGAGAAAAGCTTGAACCAGGAGGGGGAGGTTGCAGTGAGCTGGGATTGTGCCACTGCACTCCAGCCTGGGTGACAGAGTGAGACTCCCATCACAAAAAAAAAAATTTTTTAGGAATCAAACTATGTATTTTTAAAAAGTGTTTCTGAAGCCATAAGAAAAAAAAACTGGGAACTTAGGTAATACTATATATATACAGAGAGAGAGAGAGAGAGAGAGAGAGAGACAGAGAGAGAAAGAGAGAGCAAGAGGGAGAGTTGTTAATAATGCTGGAAGATCCTAAAAATATACTAGTCTTTGTTCTCGTGCTATACTTAACACTTTTAGTGCTGACATTCCAACTGGAGAAATGAGACACAAGCAAAAGAAAAATAAATAGCCCAAAGTAACACCAAATAAGAGGTGCAAATAATAAGCCCTCCAGAAAGGAAAAGGTGGCCGTGAGCTAGCATGATTTGGAAAAAGTCGTTCACATATGATTCAAGAATTGGACTAGATGTTGGGTATTTAAGTCACGTATGTTGTATTTCAATGCAAGGGCAGCAAATAGTATAGCTTTTGATTAGAGCTTAATGTTAGCCACATCTGTCAGTTTATGTAATATACATATGTTATCTAAAATGGCTAAGGTAATAATCCATTGTTTTATGTACCAGTCACATCTACAAAGGGCCATTCTGTTTGTGGCACGGCATTTTAAGAAAGATATTGGCAGATTTGTTAACAGGATCACAGAAAGGTGACCAAGATGTATACGAGTCTTAGAAACCATGGCTCAGGAGGATTGCATGAAGGATTTAGTAGTATTTGACTGGAAAATAGGAATACAAGTACCTGGGTACATGACAACTATCTCCTGTGTAATAGACCTAGAAAAGATAGATAGCAGTGTGAACTGTTCTTAAAATTTATAACCACTGCTGTCAAGTAGGCTGCCCTGCAGTTCTACCATAGTTCCTAATAAAATCACTTTGTCAATCTTTAAAATGCCTATTTCTTGTTTTCTCCCTTGATAATTTTCTAATACTCTCTTCCCACCTTACTGTCAGTTTATAACCTTGCTTCTCTAAGAAAATAGAATCCAAATGAGAGTTGCTTTATTGTCTCACCAGCAAAACCACTAGACTATGTAATTTATCCATGTACTCTTCTTTCTGTTCGTTCATAAAAAATGAATTGTCCTTGCCCTTATCTAAGGCCGATACGCTTGTCCTCTCTTCCATCCCTTACTGTCAACTTAAGAATGTTACCTTGGCAGTGATATACCCTCTCTCTCGAGTCATCAATTTTTCCATCTCTCCTAAATCATTCATGTTAGCATATAAACATAATGTACTTTTGCTAATCCTAGGAAAACTTCCATGAACCAATGTCCCTATCCAGCTATTATCTCATTACTCTGCTTCCCTTTACAACAAAATACCTAGGAAGATTTATCTATGCTTGCTTTCTTTTACTTCCTCACCTTTCAGAATTCTTTCTTTTACTTGTTCTACTAAAAACTGTTCTTATCATGGTAGCCAAGTACTGCCATGTTAGCAAATCTACTACTTGACGTGTTAACCAGCATTTGATAATCATTGAGTGCTTTGTCTTTCTTTTTTTTTTTCTTTTTTTGAAACAAGGTCTCATTTTGTCACCCAGGCTGTAGTGTAGTGGTGCGATCATGGCTCACTGCAGCCTTGACTTTCCCAGCTCAGGTGATTCTTTTACTTCAGCCTCCCAAGTAGCTGGGACTACAGGCATGCACCTCCACATCCAGATAATTTTTTTTTTTTTTTTTGTGTGTATACAGAGTTTTACCATGATTCCCAGGCTAGTCTCAAACTCTTGAGCTTAAGCAATCTGCCTGCCTCAGCCTCCCATAGTCCTGGGATTATGGGCATGAGCCACTACACCTGGCCTCATCTTTCTTAAGACACATTTTTTTGCTTGAATTATCAGACCCCGTACTCTTGGTTTTCTATTTCCCTGGTTGATCCTGAACAATTTCCTCTGTTGGCTGCTCCTTTTTCAAACTTTAAAATGATGGTTCCCCTCAAAGCTCAGCTTAAATTTATTTCTTCATTTCCTGAGCCCCAAGCTGGAATGTCCAGCTGACTGTTTAAATCTGTGCTTGGCTTAACAGACATTGTAGAGTTAATATGACCAAACCAGAAATTTTCTTCCCATTCTTCATCCCTCAGATTTGTCTTCTTTTGTCTTCCTCATCTCAGTGGTACTCATTTCCTAGGGTTAAAAGTTGGCTCAAATTAGGCATCATCTCTGATTCTCCTCCTTCCTTTAATTTGTATATTTAATCTGTTAGAAGTCTTTTCATTTCTGCCTTCATAAAATATCCCAAATCTGACTACATCTCACCATCTCTACCACTATTAACCTAATCCAACCTACCATCATCTGTGTCTATCATCCTAACAAGTCTTCCTGATTCCAGTTTACCCCATTGAAGTACATCTCCACCTAGCTGCCAGAGTCATCTTCTGAAAATACAAGTCAAGTTTTATCAGTTGCATGCTTAAAACACTCCTAGAATATTCTAGCAAACTTAGAATAAAATATAAACTCTTAGGAAGGCTCTACTCATCTGGACCTTGTCCTCCTCTATTACATTCTACCACCTTCTTTCTGTTTGTTGATCATGTCAAGCTTTTCCCTTAATTTAAGTCTTTTATACTTGCTGTTCTCTTTGCTTAGAAGACATCTTTGAGATATTTCCATACCTCATTCCTTTTTCCCCCTAGTATTAATAATTGCACATTTAATAGATGTATGCATTCTTCATAAGGGAAAGAAAAAGAACTAAATACTGTAGGCAATGCCAAATTCCCCTCTGATGCTTATATACAGTTCCATTTCTAACTTCTAACACCAGAGCTTCGTAGCATGGGTTAGGTATATACCAGTTTAGTTCATTTGTTTATTTTTAAATTTCTTCACAGTAGTCCATCATATTGCATTTTATTTATCCTTACCGAGAGCTATTTCTGTTATTTTTTTTTTCCTGGTGTAAATATTGCTGTAATGATCCTCTAACGTGTCTCTTACCCTGAACATTAAGTATTTCCTGAAGGCATGCACTTAAAAGTGAAATAGAGCTCACTCCTTCTTATTTAAGTCTTTGTTCTGGTGCCATTTCTTCAGACAGGGATTCCACACATGTTTAAACAAGAGAGTACATTGTTGACATTGTACATTTATATGTTCATTATAACAGTTTCCCAGAAGATGGCAGTAGTGTTTTGAAGAATTACGTTATTTTGTATTTTACACAGAAGTATCATATGGGCTAGCATTGACTCTTAGCAGGAAATGCTTTCCCGTCGACCGTATCTAAAGTATCTTCCTGCTTCCTGGTTTCTTTTAATGACTTTTAACTACTTTTTTCTTCAGAGCACTTGTCACTATCTAAAATCATATTGCTTTAATTACTTCTTAAGCCATACTTTTTCACTACATCTTCTGGGTGATCTTCTATTTTACTGCACTTCCCATTTTTGTTTATGTTATTCTCTCTACATCAGCTATCCACTTATCTAGACCTTGTCCATCCTTCAAGTCCAAACTCTAATGTTACTTTTCCACGAAGTCTTTGTGATTTTCCTCCACTTTCCTGGGTGCAGAAGATTATTTCTTATTTCTAAGTTTGTGTAGCATATTGGTATTCAAAAATGACCATACATCAGAATCATTTGGGAGAATATTTAAAAGATACAGATTCCTAATTCTTTTTTTTTTTTTTTTTTTTGAGACAGAGTCTCGCTCTGTCACCAGGCGCCAGGCTGAAGTGCAGTGGCGCAATCTCGGTTCACTGCAGCCTCCGCCTCCTGGGTTCAAGTAATTCTTCTGCCTCAGCCTCCGGAGTAGCTGGGACTACAGGCATGCGCCACCACACCCAGCTAATTTTTGTATTTTATCAAAGATGGGGTTTCACTATGTTGGCCAGGATGGTCTCTATCTCTTGACCTTGTGATCTGCCCGCCTCGGCCTCCCAAAATGCTGGGATTACAGGTGTGAGCCACCACGCCAGACACAGATTCCTAATTCTTATCCTTAGAGACTCTTTCATTAAGTAGGTCTAGGATGTAGCCGGAGAGGTGGGTTTTTAAAAAAGTATAGCAATTAATTGTATTCTAATTTGACCATTATGAAGTTTAAACTTCTATTGGAGTTATAGGTAATTGATGTTTATAGCTCATCTCCTTTTCAGAATGTGAGAGTAAAGGACGAATAATAAAGATTGTGTTGTAATAATTTTTTCCATAGGTTTTGTAGAGTTTAATATTAGCATGTGTCTTTTCAAATAGTTATTCATTTTGGATCAGGAGAAAGTTCTTCAGAAGATGCCGTCATGATGAATACACCTGTGGTTAAATCTGCCTTGGAAATGGGCTTTAGTAGAGACCTGGTAAAACAAACAGTTCAGAGTAAAATCCTGACAACTGGAGAGAACTACAAAACAGTTAATGATATTGTATCAGCACTTCTTAATGCCGAAGACGAAAAAAGAGAAGAGGAGAAGGAAAGACAAGCTGAAGAAATGGCATCAGGTATTTGGGAATGTTAGTCATTCGCATTATTTCTCAAAGGAGCTCTTAGGACTGTCTCACGTGTTGCAGGACAACATGCTTGTTTCACATCCACTAACTGCTGGTAGTACTCCAGTCATTTTGAAACCATCCCTCCTTTTCTACCCCTCTCAATTGCTTCAAGTTGAAAACCGTCGACTACAGCTTTTTTCTGTATGTTTATTTTCTGATGAGATTCCCTGATTTATGACAATCAGAGAATTTTAGCATAATAAGCTCTTTCTTGAGCTGTATTGCATTTCTTTCTCATACATAACTGATGTAAATTGTTTTGAAAGAGCAAGATGTTAAAGTTGGATGCAGGTCTTTTTTTCTCCTTTTTTTTTTTTTTAAGTTTCTGCACATCATATTTTTAATATGATATTTTACTTTCTAATCCTTGCTAAGTGATCCTCAAACAAAAAATAGAACTTAGTATGAAATTCTGGGGTTTGATGAGAACTACCTGCCCAATCCAAGGATAACAGGGAAACTGATTTTTCTATTCATCCAAATAGTATTAAGTCTCAGCCCCTCAAAACAAGAATTTTGAGTAATCATTTATTTCTTCAATAAATTTTTATTGAGGATGAGCACCAGTGCCAAATACTGTGCTAATCATAGTGGTTGCTCTCCAGGAGTATATACTCTAGCTAGGGAGACTAGTGTGCAAAAGACAAGGTTAAAGGGCCAGCAGAGACGTGAAGGTTGCATATGAATTGGAGTATTGGGTTGGAAGATGCTTTCTTTTTAAGCTTGTATGTAAAGATAGGAATAACTTGAGTACCCTATGGCATGACCATGTAGCAAAATGTTTAAAGTCTGGATTTCCACACTGAAACAGCTCCATCATCTACTAACTTGGCTATTTATTCAACCAGACATCGGCTTTCTCATCTGTAAAATGGGGATAGTAATAGTACTAATCCCATAGGGTTACTGTAGCAATTAAATGAGATATTGCAAATAAAACACTTGAACATAGCTCCTAGCACATCAGTTTTTTTTTAAATCATTAGGTAGATTGACTTGGGAAGTGGGAGGGACTCGGTGAAAGAAAGGGCCTAAGACAAGTCAATTTAAGGATTGTTAAGTAGTAATAAAATCCAGCTAAGGTTATATGAAATCGCTGTCACCTTAGATTTATGACTTTCCCATACTTTGTGTGGGTCAGAGAATAGTATTGAATTACAGATTTGGCAGTGTTAATAGGGGAAAGGCCAAGTAAGGAATAGGGAAGACAAGTTAAAAGGATAATATAGAGAACCTCATTGAAACACCTGAGTGATACCTAGATTAGAATAGGATGTTTGACGCAAAGCCAGGATACAGCTCTTGTGCAAGTAGAATTGGGAATGACATGGAGATCTTGAAAAGGTGAAGAACAAATTTGTTAGCAGTGAGAGGAGTGATTAAGGTAGAAGAAGAAGTTGTGGTCATAGAATGGAGTTTTATAGTTTTGAGATTAATATAGAGTGGTTCACTTCTAGAACGATGTAAAGGAGAAGAAGACTTCTGTTTCTATAATTTATTTCTCATTAAACTGGTACTTTGTATAGATGTACTCTTAAGATTTTTTCTGAAAATAGACAATTAAATTTTATAATGATTTAGACACCAAAAGAAGAATCTACCATATTCCATTGATATAAATTAACTATGGAGTTTTATGGGATGCAATATTGAAAAACATTTGCTTTTTTTAAAAAAAAAAGTCAGACTTGATTCTTACGTAGTTGTTTTTAATTGCTATAAACATAGACATTTATGAATAGTAATGGTCATTAACTATGTACCACATATTGTGCCCAATGCTTTACATGTGTTATTCAATCCTCACAACTCTGAGGAAGGTACCGTTATTACAGATGAAGAAACTGAGGTCTATGGGGAAAGATTAGGACACATGGCTAGTGAGTGGGCTCAGCCAACACTGGAACCTAGGTCTGTGTTGACTTTACTCCTCAAACCTTACAACACTACAATGCTGCATCTTAGGTATGGGGTGTTGAAAAGAACAGTGGTCTAGGAGACCTGGTTCTGCAGCTTATTCTTTCTATCATCTGGGACATGCCACTCATTCTTTTCTGAGTCTTTTTTCTCCCTATGTGAAAATGAGAGGCAGTAATACTTGCCTTGTTTAATTGACGGGATTGCTGTATCAAATGAGACAAATTACTATGAAAGTACTTACAAAAGCAAAGTGATATAATGGAAATATAAGTCAGTATTATATAGCGTGGGATAAATTTTTACTATCTTCTAAAAATGTCTTTCAACAAAATAAAGTAAAAGTAGAATTCTAGGACATGTGAATATATAGACTTAAAAGTTACAGAAACAGACTTCTCTGGAAGTTTTCCAAAACAATAAACTTCAAAATGCAAACAAGTTATTTTGTTGTTTTTTGAACTTATTTAGTGCCTACAATATTTGTAGGTTTGGTTATTAGTGACTATATAAGTATAGTTAAAGGAGTTTAAAATCTAATGGATTTCTTTTTCTTTTTTTAATGAAGATGATTTGTCATTAATTCGGAAGAATAGAATGGCTCTCTTTCAACAGTTGACGTGTGTGCTTCCTATCCTGGATAATCTTTTAAAGGCCAATGTAATTAATAAACAGGAACATGATATTATTAAACAAAAAACACAGATACCTTTACAAGCAAGAGAACTGATCGATACCATTTTAGTTAAAGGAAATGCTGCAGCCAACATCTTCAAAAGCTGTCTAAAAGAAATTGACTCTACGTTGTATAAGAATTTATTTGGTGAGTTTGTTGGGGAAATTATTTTAGACATTCTTAGGACTATGTTCATCTCTGTTTGACAAGCAAATAAATCCAATTAGCAACTGTATGTATTTCACTTGTTCCAAAAAAGTGGCCTTTTATTTCCCAAGTAGTATGCCTAAATGTAACAGTTCCTGATAATATATAGCTACAATCTACATCATTTCATAAATAGGTAGTAGGTGAAGCAGTTTTGTATTTAGTAGAGTGATGCTTTTTATATGTTTTCTTTCCTCAGTGGATAAGAATATGAAGTATATTCCAACAGAAGATGTTTCAGGTAAAACAAAGATTTAAAACCAACATAAACTGTTACCCTTATTTTTTTTTAATGGGAAATGAAGTGGAAACAGTATCACTCAAGTTATTTTTTGTTACTAGGTCTGCCACTGGAAGAACAATTGAGGAGGTTGCAAGAAGAAAGAACTTGTAAAGTGTGTATGGACAAAGAAGTTTCTATTGTATTTATTCCTTGTGGTCATCTGGTAGTATGCCAGGAATGTGCCCCTTCTCTAAGAAAATGCCCTATTTGCAGGGGTATAATCAAGGGTACTGTTCGTACATTTCTCTCTTAAAGAAAAATAGGCTATCTATTAACCTGTATAAAAAAGTCTCTAAAATATTGTTGAACACTTGAAGCCATCTGAAGCAAAAAGGGAATTATTAGTTTTTCAATTAGTAACATTCATGTTTTAGTCTGCTTTGGTACTAATCTTGTTTCTAAAAAGATGATATCATATTTAATCTTAATCTGTTTATTTACAATGGAAGATTTATGTTTGGTGAACTATATTAGTATGTATGTGTGGACATAAGAGGAATTAAGGGAGTAGTGTCACGGCTTGTTATATATCACTTCAGGAATTACTGGATTTGGTATTCTTTCAGAAAGCTTTGAATACTAAATTACAGTGTAGATTAAAATAACTGGAAACCAGGAACTCTGGAGTTCATCAGAGTTATGGTGCCAAATTGTCTTTGGTGCTTTTCACTTGTGTTTTAAAATAAGGATTTTTCTCTTATCTCTCCCCTTAGTTTGTGAGAAACATCTCAGTAAAGTGCTTTAAAACGATTGTGTTACCAGAATTTTTTTTTGTCCTGATTTAAAAAGTAATTTTCATGTTTCTTCATTGTACTCAAATGCCAGCTAGTAAGTAAATAATTGCATTCATGAGAAATTATTAACAAGTGTTTTAAAAATAATGTTATTTGGGAAATTTCTTTAGATGACAGTCTCTTGTTGCTTTGTATGTTACAGATACAATGTTGGATGAAAAATGAATCCAACATTAATTTTGAAAAACTCTTAATAAATTAGATAAATAGTCATTGTTTTCAGACATTTGTGTAATTGCTTTGTTGCATAGGTGTTGATGGGGTGAGGAGGTGGCATACAGGCAATGAATGGTAAGTACCTCCTTTCTGGGTCTAGTCATATTTGACCTTTCTTAGATTTGGCTCTGTGGCAGACTTCTGAAGCAGGTGGATAAGGAGGTCTAATATTAAAAACTCTCCATTTTTCTTCTCACTTCACAACTCTTTTAGATTCCTTTAGAGAACACATGGGAAGAGTGAATGAGAATTTCTGTATCCTCCAGTCTCTTCTCTTGCTGTTGTTTCTATCCTGATATGCTGATGCATGTAAGTCCAAATGCATATATACCTAGGTTCAAGACCTCATAAGAGAAATGCTCTCCCAGCCATTACAGAGGGACTATAAAGAGGGAATTCTTTTTTCCCCAAATTCTGTTGACTCAGAACAATGTTAAAACATTGTTAACTTTTCTCTGCCAACCTGGCCTATGATTGCTGAAGGGATAATTAGCTCCCTCAAAGAATCAAACTAAAAGTTCTTTAGTGAGAACAACCCAGTATATCTAAGTCGTAGAACTAAACCCCCTTGTCACAGGATACTATTAAATCTTTTTAAAAACTCTTCTCTTTTTTTCTTTTTATTTTGCTTATAATAGCTGCTCTATTGAGGATCCCCTGTGTGTGCTAAACGCTTTAAACAATTGAGATGTGCTATAGGTTCAGTGGTATTCCCCCAAAATTTATATGTTGAAGTCCTCAGTACCTCAGAATGTACCTGTATTTGGAAATAGGGGCTTTAAAGAGGCAGTTAAGGTAAAATGTTATTATATAGTTGACTGTTAATCAACATAATTGGTTTTCTAAGAAGAGATTAGGATACAGATGGACAGAGGGTGACTATGTGAAGATACCTGAGAAACAGGCCTCAGAAGAAACCAAACCTGCCAACACCTTGATCTTGGACTTCTAGCTTCCAGAACTGTAAGAAAATAAATTTCTGTTGTTTAAACAACCCAGCCATTGGTACTTCGTTATGGCAGCCCTAACAAAGTAACACAGGCTGCCATTAATAGATACTTTAAAGCACATTGGCTTTGATCCTTTCAGCAATTTGCAAAGTAAGATTTGAACACAGATCTGCCTGACTCCTTATCTTGTGTTTTTTGAACAAACTGTCCTAATAAGCTATATTGATCTTTTTTTAAATTACATGGGCTGCCATCTAGTATAACTATAATAACTTATGATTTGCCTTCTATTTATAAAAGAGTTGTCTTACTTGGTTTTATTCAGCTAGTCAGTTTTAAGGACTTGTGTGTTTTTCATAGTAAAAATAATGCAAAAAATATAACTAAACACAATGTAATTTATACTTTGTCTGCTTGCCAAATTCTCACATGGACCTGGATTTGAGATTAGGGTTTTAGTCTCTTTTTTGCCCTCTTAATAATAATAATCAGTGTCCTAGTAGGTGCTCCTTATGTTGAGTAGACAGAAGAATGTCAGATGCTTTGTTAGGTTTATTTATTGCCTTCCATAATCCTCAAAACCCTAGGAAACATGATACCTCTTTTTTACAATACAAATGTGGAAATTGAGGTCCAGTGAAACTATGTAAATTGCTAGAGATAACAAGTGGTAGAGTGTGAATTGTAAACAGCTCAGGTGGAAGTGGCTCTATAACATTTACATTTTTAAAAAATCTCTTGCTAAACCGTACTTCAGGTTTTGTTTTGTTTTGTTTTGAGATGGAGTCTTGCTCTTGTTGCCTAGGCTGGAGTGCAATGGTACGATCTTGCTTCACTACAACCTCTGCCTCCAAGGTTCAAGTGATTCTCCTGCCTCAGCCTCCTGAGTAGCTGGGATTATAGGTGCCCACTACCATGCCTGGCTAATTTTTGTATTTTTAGTAGAGATGGTGTTTCACCATGTTGGCCAGGTTGGTCTTGAACCCCTGGCCTCAGGTGATCCACCCATCTTGGCCTCTCAAAATGCTGGGATTATACATGTGAGCCACTGTGCCTAGCCTGTACTTCAGTTTTCTACTTACTTTTCTACTTGAAGAAAGGGTCACTTTCTTCACTGTCTTAACCTACATGGGTAGAAATCATATGATTATTAGTTAGGCTTCTCATTTGTTTCCCACATTTTCTTTTAAAAGAGCTTAAGTGCCAGAGCTGAATAGAGTTTACTCTTGTCAACACTAGCAATCTGAGAGATTTATTGCTTGTTGACTGCCATTCCGTAAGTCAAAGGACAACTGATTGTCAGCTTTGAAGACACACCTAAATTTTTTATAGAGGTATAGCATTTCAATGCGTATCTCCTACTATATGTAAAAAACAAAAAACAAAAATACGCTATCAGTACATAGTAGCAGTTCTTTCAACCCTTTGGGGGCTCTGAAAAAAATTAAAAGTAAAACTAAGATGCTGGCTTGGTGTGGTGGTTCATGCCTGTAATCCCAGCACTTTGGGAGGCTGAGGCAGGCCAATCACGTGAGATCAGGAGTTTAAGACCTGGCCAACATGGTGAAACCCTGTCTCTTCTAAAAATACAAAAATTAACTCTAGGGCATAGTGGTGGGTGCCTATCATCTCAGCTACTCGAGAGGCTGAGGCAGGATAATTGTTTGAACGTGGGAGGTGGAGGTTGCAGTGAGCCAAGATTGCACCGCTGCACTCCAGCCTGGGTGACACAGTGAGACTCTGTTTAAAAAAAAACCCCAAAGCATAGAAGATGCTGTTTGCTATTTTCACTGTGCCAACACTTGTAATGATTGGTGTAGACACAATTGCAGTCAGTGGACCAGCCTTTAAGAACCACTGGTGTATGGTAAAACCGTTAGCCTCATTTTTTAAAAAAAATGAATCTAAGAAGAATTGTATTGAGGGAGAACATTTAGTCTTATTTCTTGAGATTTTCTTCGACATAGAAGGAACTCTTTTTGCCCCTGCACTTATCATCTTGATACTTTTGGAAGAGAAATCAATCCCATCTTTTTTCTTTCTCTTGGGGTGCCAGCTTGTCTGAAGAGAGTATACTCCATCCTTCTGTGATGTTGGCATCACAGGGGCCTTTCTTAGTTTTTCAGTATTGCCAGTGACTGGTAAAGTTTGTTTCCTTCTAGCATTCATATTAGGAAATCTGCACGTAAGCGTTGTCCTCCAGATCTTTTATCGATGATGAAGAGGTTTTCATTGTTACGTGATGACTCCTTTTACCTTTTATTGGTTCTAAACTTGGGTAAAAGATGTTATTTATTGAGCCCCACAAGTCCATAATAGATTCTTTTGCCTACTTGGTCTGTTGGAATGTGTGTGATTATTCAGGGGAAGGTTTAGATAGCTTAGTAGAAATACAAAGACTATGGTAATAATTGATCATTGTGCTAGGTCCTGTTATCTTTCTGGTATGGTGTCCAGATAGGCTTTAACCAGTGAGTTCTTGGAGCTTTTAAGCCTTAGCAGCTCTGATAATAAAGGATAATAGGTAAAGAGCCCTGAATTTCAAATCCAAAGACCTTGCCTCTAAGCCTAGTTCTACCATTTAATGAGGCTTTTGGCAAGCCCTTTACAACTCTTTCTGATCCTCAGCTTTTCTATGAGGATGAATTTCTGCCCTCTTTCTTCCTCACAGGGCTGTAGTGGGGTCTAATGTAGAGCTGCACATGGTGTCTGTGTTCTTCATTAGTGGGCTATGCTAAAGACAGTGTCATAGGTCTGATTCCCAAGTAGCAAGCATCCTGTTTCATATCAGACCTGGATAGACTGAGTTATAGCATTGTGTTCCACTCAGTTTTTGTTTGTTTTGTTTTCAGGCCAGGTAAATACTCTAGAATATATGTTTGTTGTAAAAGTTTCAAACAAAATTAGTATATAAAGTAAAATGTTTGAGTTTCCTTTAATTACCCCCACTGCTACTTTCAGTCCCCTCCCTGGTAATCACTGTCAAATTTCATATGTATTCAGTGTATGGAGGTATGTATATACACACATGCCAAATACATGTGGTTATAGGAATGTTCTTAAGGTTACTTTTTCACTCAGTAGTAGGTCTTGAAGATCTTTAGCTTTCTATGTCAGTAAATAAGTGCCCAATTATTTTTCTATAAAAATAGAAGTCATAATTTCAGCTTCAAAGCTACATGGAAACTAAGAGATTTTCCCTGTCCTATTTGATATATAAAATCTCTTTATAGCATTTCTGACTAGTACATGTATAATCTGTTTCAGACAGAATTCATTACTTCTTGAGGAAACTTACCCATTTTGATGCTACTTTGGTTGCTAGAGTAATTTGTAGTATAGCACAATTCAGGATAATTGGAGAATATTTTACACACACACAGGTGAAAAAATGGGATCAGGTCTAGAGATTAGTTGACACATGTGAAGGCACAGAGGTGCAAAAGAACAAGCATTGCTAGAGAACAGGGAGTTGTCCTATGAATTAAAACATATGACTCTTATTTTACTGAGATGTGGAGATATTTTAATCCAAATATCTCCACGCCTCAGTAAAGTAAGTGCCATAGGAAAGGTTCAGATAAAGTGCCATGGGGATTTTTTTTCAAATAATTTTAGATGAAATAGCGTCTCAATTGGTTATTGAGGATTAAATAGGGTAAATTATGCAAAGTTGGAGAATGGAGTTACTGGGAAGTATTTTCTAGGCAGAGGGAAAAACAAAGAAAGACAAAAATGTATGAATCATTTTTGCGAAAAGTAGTTGTAGGGCCAGTGAAGGTGAATAATGGGAAATAGGGTAGGGAAGATAGGATGGAAACCAAGCTTAAGAAGACTACAAATTATGGGCTTTGCTATCTAGACTTCTTTCTATATAGGTAAAGAAGAGCTGTTGGTTTTTAAGCAGAGGAGATAATATGATTTTAAGTGTTATTTACAAAGAACAATGTAGTGGCAGAATTGGATTTCCATATTAAAGGGGTTTGGGAAGGCAAGGTGATTAGACTTGAAGCCAAATTAATAAAGCATCTAAGTATTTTGTTGAAGATTTTGGCATC